GAAAGGAGAGAGAGAGAGAGAGAGAGAGAGAGAGAGAGAGAGAGAGAGAGAGAGAGAGAGAGAGAGAATCACACACACACACACACCTTCGGGCAGGAGATAATTAATAGCTTCAATTATGTTTAGGACACGACAAAGCTTCACTGATGAACTACTGTGGGGGAGTAAGCTATAGTCTAGTTAAATCACGCCCTTCTCAGCTTACTCACGCTCTGCTAAGCTTAATCACGCTCTGCTAAGCTTAATCACGCCCTACTCAGATTACTCACGCTCTACTAAGCTTAACCACGCCCTACTCAGATTACTCACGCTCTACGAAGCTTAATCACGCCCTACACAGATTACTCGCTCTCTACTAAGCTTAATCACGCCCTACTCAGATTACTCACGCTCTACTAAGCTTACTCACGTCCTACTCGGCCTAGAAAACTTGGAGACTGGTTGTTGTTGTGAAGGGAATAAAATAACCTAACCCTAACCTAACCTAACCCTAACCTAACCTAACCCTAACCTAACTGACTGTATAATAGAGTGGTGTGTGAGCCTTACAGTCACTCACTAAAACTAACTGGAGTGCCAACTTCACCAGAGGAAGTTGAACAGAAAATTTGTTTTAATCCCGTTCGGTGGAGATCAAAAACGGTAGGATTAACCGGATTTACGCGAACGGCTAAAAAAAAAAAAACATCCATCACGGGTTATTTTTTTTTTTAGTTGGATTAATGGATTTACACGAACGGATAATAAAACAAAATTAGGATAAACTTTGACTTATAATTTTGGGATAATTTTAGGATTTATTGAAGAAACGGTAATACAGTGAATGTAGGATTTACATTTTTTTTAATATTTTCTAAAAGTTTAGGACTATTGGATTTATTAACGGTGGAAAGTGTAAAAAAAATACACAGGATTTTTCAGGTAAGGGTATAGGTTAATTAATGAATTTAGGTGAACGGTGAATATAGTGGTAATTATTGAAGCTGGGGGAAAAGGAAATATTTTGTGTGTGTGTGTGTGTGTGTGTGTGTGTGTGTGTGTGTGTGTGTGTGTGTGTAAATTATAAAAAAAATTAAATTACAGATCTAACAGCGGCCTGGCATTTGTCGACGAGATTCTGACCCACTGTACCCCTGGCACGCTGTATCGCTAGTCCGCTGTACCCATGACCCACTGTACCCCTGGCCCGTTGTATCGCTAGTCCGCTGTACCCCCTATCCCCGCCGTGCCACTATCGCCGTACCACTATCCCCATATGCCCACTATATATCACTAAACCCCGCCACTATCCCCGCCGTGCCTATCCCCGCCGTACCACTATTATCCCATAATGCCCCTATCATAGTACCCCTATCCCCACTGTACCCTGCTGTCAACCCCCCCCTCTTCGTAACAGATATAGGTTTCCTGTACTATGTGTGGGGAAAAAAAATATATTGAGATTATAATTGAATTTACGCCCACCAATAACAACCGAGCGCTAATTCCTTTACCTTTGTTTGTGTTTTTGTGCTGGGATTATACATACATACATACATACATACATACATACATACATACATACATACATACATACATACTGTACATACACACACAGGTAGATGCAAATACACATAGGTAGACACAAAGATACCTAGACATTCACACATATATTTTTACACACAAACATACACACAGTTATATGTAGACACAGACAGACAGACGTAAAATACACAGACAGACAGATGCTTGCAATTAGACACATACAGTATACAAACACACACAGGTAGATACAGACATGCATATAAAGACAAAAATACACACACACAACACACACACACACACACACAACACACCAAACACACACAACACAATACAACACACACACACAACACACCAAACCAAACACACACAGATATAATATATATATATAAAACAGGTAATAAACACCAAAACGGACTTGAAATACCACCATATAAATCATGTCTATATTTTTTTGAACACTTTTTGGTGGTTTACCCGATAGGATTTAAGAAAAGGAGTCAACAATTTTTCTCATCTCCCCCGAGCCCTGAGAGGAGACACTAGCCAGGCGAGGAAATATTGACCCAACTCCTTGATTGAGACCCCAAAGGAAAGAGTCTTTTTATAGGATCATAATAATAATAGACTCGAGAGACTATTTTGGTGTGTGATGGTCGTTAGTGTACTGTACTGGTGAGTTATTGGTCCACCTGAAGATTAGGCACTTTAGTATATTTCACCTGACCTGATCTAAACCTGACTTGATCTAAACCTGACTTGACCTGACCTAACCTGACCTAACCTAACCCATGCCAGGTATAACAGGAGGGTGTTTGATCATGGGAGAGAGCACGTGTTTGGTATCTCTTGACAAGGTGGTGTGATTGATTGACCTTAGGTACAAAAGTTTTAATAGTGATTTGAAGGAGCATGAACAGCAAAATAGGAGAGGTTAGGTTAGGTTAGGTTAGGTTAGCATTATTAGAGGTTTGAAATGTCATGAATCGGTGGGAACGAATTGCTGCTTGAACATATATGCTTAATTGAGTACGATGGCTGAATTCACTGAGTACTATGACTTTACCTCCTTTGAGTACGCTGGTTAAATTGGCTGATTACGATGACTTTACCCCCCCACCCACCACCTCTTGAGTACGACGAGTTTGATACCCTGAGTACGACGACTTTATTCCGTGATTATGATGTCATGTTATTCAAAGGTTTAAAATTATTTCACTAGGAATTAATTCGTCGTATTAAAGGGGTTGATTCGTCGCATTTAAGGGGTTAATCGTCGTATTTAAGGGGTTAATCCGTTGTATTTAAGGGGTTAAAATATTGTGTGTGTTAATGTTAGTGTTATAATGTTTTGCTACATTTCAACAACTAATGATTCTTTTAAAGCGTATCATGAACTGTCAACTCACTCACTCACCCACCCCAACCCACCCACTCCCACCCACCCCAACACACCCACCCACCCCAACCCACCCACCCACCCATCCACTCCCACCCACCCCAACCCCACCACCCACCCACTCTTAAGACCTTGTATGAGGAAGATGGGACACGGCACTAGAACTCCGCCGTCAGCTCACTAAGTAGTATCTGCAGGTGTTTGGTGAACATCCTGTGGCCGCGGGAGGCTGATGACGCGCCCCTCACCAACACAGTGACCTTTGATCTATCGTACTCTAGATCAATGTTTCCGCCACACCTCCCCCCCTCTCTCTCTCTCTATCTCTCTCTCCTCACAGCCACACCCCGACCACCTCCTTCCCCTCTTTAAAGCCACATCCTCAACTACATCTTCCTCTTTCTCCTCTTCTCAGCCACACCCCGACCACCTCCTCCTATTTCCTCGTCTCATGTATCCTCCTGACTCGTCGATCACAACCATAACACATCATCTCGTGGTGGTGTGGCGTGGTGTGGCGCGGCGTGGTGTGGCGCGGCGGACCTCTGAGCTTGAGTACCCCCCCGTGAAATAAGACGTGTTCTGGTGACGTGTTCAGGGATGTACTTCCTCCTCCTTCAGTAGCAACAACAGCAGGACGAGGAGGAGGTTGACGTGTACCACTCCCCTCCTACAACAGAGAGAGATTCCACACATTTCCTACCTACTCCCTGGCTTACGAAGGTAATAACCATAACAATAAAAGACTTGGGGAAACATCGCCATCTTCACTACAGAAAGTCCCTTGGTTCTGCCTCTACCCCCTTTTTTCCCCCTTCTATAATTTTAAAATGTAAAGCCAACCTTAATTTGTGTATATATGATTTGACCTTGAGGCTGTTGTTGTGAGGGAGAGGTTGTTTTTTGAGGGAGAGGTTAGTTTGAGGGGAGAGGTTAGTTTTGAGGGGAGGGAGTTTGTGTGAGGGGAGAGGTTGTTGTGGAGGGAGAGGTTGTGAGGGAGAGGTTGTTGTGAGGGAGAGGTTGTTGTGAGGGAGAGGTTGTTGTGAGGGAGAGGTTGTTGGGGGAGGGAGAGGTTGTTGAGGGAAGGTTGTTGTGAGGGAGAGTTTGTTTTGAGGGGATAGAAGTTGTTTTGAGGGGAGAGGTTGTTGTGAGGGAGAGGTTGTTTTGAGGGAGAGGTTGTTGTGAGGGAGAGGTTGTTTTGGGGGAGAGGTTGTTTTGGGGGAGAGGTTGTTGTGAGGGAGAGGTTGTTTTGAGGGAGGAAGGAAGGAGGTGGGAGGGGGGATGTCACATGTTTATCTATGGCGGAGAGATGCAGAACGAGACCCCAGATGTAAGAGGAAGTGTAAATAAACAATGCCAACGTGTTTTAAATTCGTCTCTCATGGGAAAAAAATCTCCATAGGTCTTACTCAGCCGTAGAATCTGGACTATAATTTGTTGTTGTTATTGCTGTTGTTGTTGTTGTGAAATGTGTGGCATTAGGAACCTTGAGTATAGAGACAGGTTAAAACATCTTAATTTGCACTCCCTCGAGAGACGTAGAGTGAGAGGCGATATGATAGAGGTGTATAAGTGGAAGTCAGGGCTAAACAAAGGGGACATTACAAAGGTACTCAAACTATCCAACCAGGAGCGAACTCGTAATAATGGTTTTAAATTAGACAAATTTAGATTTAGGCGTGAAATAGGTAAACACTGGTTTGGAAACAGAGTAGTGGATGAATGGAACAGGTTACCAAATATCATCATTAACTCGAATACGCTGAATTGCTTCAAACATAGGTTGGATGCTTATATGAGCAATAGGTGTTGGGTGTAAACGGGACTGCCTAGTATGGGCCAATAGGCCCGCTGCAGTTTCCTCCATTCTTATGTTCTTATGTTGTAACGTAAATGAGACTGAATAAAAAAAAAGTTTTAGGTTCGTCTTCTGTGGAAAATCATGAGAAGTAACGAACCTAAAACAAAATCAATAATTACCCTTTTCTTTAAATTTGTCGTTTATGGAAGAAAAAAAATGGACAGGGATATTGATAAGACTTACTATAATAAAGTGAAAAACAAAAGAATCTATACTCACATTAGTACGATGCAGAAGTCACAGCAGAAGGTTCGTCAGCACCAAACATGAGAGTAGTTCCTCGTCAGCCGTAACTACCCAACACTTTCGTTCGTCTACCAAATGTCTGTTTTTAGCGAAGCACAGGAAGGAAAGGCTGCGTTTGTCGAGGTGTTTTGTAACTAATGCGTTCAGCTACAGTGTGGAGGCATTCAGCTATAGTGTGGTGGCGTTCAGCTATAGTGTGGAGGCGTTCAGCTAGTGTGGAGACTTTCAGCTATAGTGTGGAGACGTTCAGCTATAGTGTGGGGGCGTTCCGCTATAGTGTGGAGACGTTCAGCTAGTGTGGAGACGTTCAGCTATAGTGCTGAAGCGTTCAGCTATAGTGTGGGGGCGTTCAGCTAGTGTTGAGACGTTCAGCTAGTGTGGAGACGTTCAGCTATAGTGTGGGGGCGTTGAGCTATAGTGTGGAGGCGTTCCGCTATAGTGTGGAGACGTTTAGCTAGTGTGGAGACGTTTAGCTAGTGTGGAGACGTTCAGCTAGTGTGGAGACGTTCCGCTATATGTGAGACGTTCAGCTATTGTGTGGAGACGTTTAGCTAGTGTGGAGACGTTCAGCTATAGTGTTGAGACGTTCAGCTATAGTGTGGAGGCGTTCCTGCTATAGTGTGAGACGTTCAGCTATTGTGTGGAGACGTTTAGCAAGTGTGGAGACGTTCAGCTAGGTGGAGACGTTCAGCTATAGTGTGAGACGTCGGCTAGAGAGGCGTTGAGCTATAGTGTGGGTGCGTTTCGCTATACTGTAGTGTGGAGACGTTCATTAGTGTGGAGACGTTCAGCTAGTGTGGAGACGTTCAGCTATAGTGTGGGTGTTGAGCTATAGTGTGGAGGCGTTGAGCTATAGTGTGGAGGCGTTGAGCTATAGTGTGGAGGCGTTAAAGCTATGTGTGGAGGCGTTAAGCTATAGTGTGGGCGTTCAGCTATAGTGTGGAGGCGTTCAGCTATAGGCGGAGGCGTTCAGCTACGTAGAGACGATCAGCTATAGCGTGGAGACGGTTATTTTTCTCAGTCCACTCTGTCCGGGTGTCGATATGGTTTTTGGATTTATAAGTCCTGGTTATTTTTTTTTCGTTCTACGCCTTTTCCGCTAATGATGTACACTATATGTTGTTATTTAATGGGGTGTTCACATTTGTTCCTGGTGTGTCTGCTGTTGTGAAAGTGGCGGGAGGAGTAACGTACGGAGAAACACTTTTTATAAGTCTCACACAACTCACTGTCCATTAAGTTACTTAATGTCCTCTAAGGGGGGGGGGTTCGTCTCAGACCCTTTTGGTAATATTTTCTGAATAAAAAATATATATTTCCATAAGAAAACGATAATAATAATAATAATAATAATAATAATAATAATAATAATAACAATAACGATACGATAAGATAATTATAAGTTACCATTATTGAATATATTAGAGTAATTTCTAATAACTAGGTTACTTTATCCACAGTGAACCGATACCATTATCTGTAATAATAGTATCGGGTGTTTTGAACAATTTAATTATCAGCTGGTGTGTGGGGGGAGCAGTGGGGGGGGGGACAGTTTCCAAATATTTCCCGTATGAGAACAGAACAACAAACCCCTGAGATTTTTTTTCCCAGCGTGAAGTTGAACTATTAGAGGCGCAGTTCCTTCAAGATATCCACAATGGTCCTTAACTCAAGGCTAGCGTCGCCCCTCACTACAAGTGTTAATGTAGACGGAGGGAGGGAAGGAGAGAGGGAGTATGGGGCTGCTCGCTCACTCGCTCCACCACTCACACTGGCCAGGCTTGTGTTGGTGAGTAATGTCTGTATTTCATCATCATCTTTCTCTCTCTCTATGTGTATACTGTATAGGAAACATACATACACACTAACACACACACACACGTACGAACAGGATTTCATACACACTATAAACGTCTTCTTTACACATACACACATACACACATACACACAGTTTCAACACAACCCAAAAAGTTACACGTGAGACTTTCAGTAAGTTTCAGGTGTAGTCAGGGAAATCTTTCAGAAATAATTATTATGACTTAGCTTCGCCTAAATCGTGTATTTCTTGAACGTAATTTTATCTTGAAGAAATGACAATGATTATATTGGTGATTTATCGTAAAAATAATGAAATAATAATAATAATGATAATGATTACAATTTTAAGAATAATAACTAAAGTAATAATGACGGCAATACTACTACTTCTACTACTGCTACTAATAATAATAATAACACTACTAATATTTACTGTAATTCAGAGGTTTCCTACAACATGACCAGAGTGTCAAACTATCGTCCAGGAATCAAATAAAATCAAAATAATAATAAAAATAATTACAAATCCTCAGTGCAATTAAAGAACTCCAAACGTTCGGAATGATTCAAAGTCATGCCAGAAGTGTTCGGTTCGGGTATTTCGGTGTCGGGTATTTCGATGTCGGGTGTTCGGTGTTGGTGTTTGGATCTGGTGTTCGGTGTAAGGGTAAAGTATTTTATTATCTCTTGGATAAACACATAGATACGCCATTTAACACACACAAACACACACACACACACACATACATGTCTAAATCAAATGTAAGTCTGTATATTTTCATCCACCGGCTGCAACTCTATTAATAAACCGTTTATTATTATTATTAATATTATTATTATTACATACATACACACAGACACGCTATTAACATCTCCTGTACATTTTCAACGCCTCCTATACACACACACACACACACACACCTAAATAACTAAACCAAACTCTCTCTACACGCGAAACTACAAACACAAATCACGAAAAAAAACACAAAAGAAAACACAAAGCAATTTCTTCCTCCCTACAAAAGTCGCCGCCTCAAGAACCAGCCCCGGATCTAGAGGGTTTAATATCTTACGTACAGTTTAACAGCAGGGAGTAGGAGTGTCGCAGGCTGTGTGGGAGGCAGACACAGCCGGGTGGTGTAGTCCACTAACACAGCCCGCTTACACAGCCCTTAACAGTCCGCTAGCAAAACCCCTATACACACACATACATGCTAGCCCGCTAACAGCCCTCACACACACACACACGCACACATACACCAGCCCGCTAACACTGCCCTTACACACACGCACACATACACCAGCCTGCTAACACAGCCCGCTAGCACTGCCCTTACACACACACACACACACATACACCAACCTGCTAGCACAGCCCTTAACAGCCCGCTAACATATCCCTTACACACACACACACACACCAACCAACCTGCTAGCAAAGCCCTTAACATAGCAGCTTAACAGCCCTTATACACACACACACCAACCAACCTGCTAGCACAGCCCCAACAGCCCGCTAACACTGCCCTTACACACACACACACACATACACCAACCTGCTAGCACAGCCCTTAACAGCCCGCTAACAGCCCTTACACACACACACACCAACCAACCTGCTAGCAAAGCCCTTAACAGCCCGCTAACACTGCCCTCACACACACCAACCAGCTTGCCAATAGGGTGTTGAGTCTTTAGGTCACAGCAACACAGGCGGTGGGCGGAGCGATACACTTCACAATCCTCTTCAATTTTCAAAGTCACAGGATACGTTCACGAGGCCAGAATGACTAATATATCACGATGCGTAGGTAGGTGTTTGAGGGGGGGGGGAGGTAGAGAGGGCAGTAGGGAGGAGGAGAAGGCAGAAGGAGGAGGAGAAGGCAGGAGAAGAAGGAGAAGAAGAAGGAGGAGGAGGAGGAGGAGGAGGTGTAAATGATCCCTACCCCGTTGACGATAGAGAGCAGCACCTGGGGTTCTCGCGGCCACGTCACAGCTTAACTGGAGGCGATGCTGCACCTCCGACCCGAGCCCGCCCTGCCACCCTGACTACGCAAGCGCACTCCCTCCCTCCCTCCTTCCCTCCCTCCTTCCTCTCCTCTCCTCTCATCCCCTCCTCTCCTCCCCTCTCTCCTCTTCTCCCTCCCTCCTTCCCTCCTATCCTTCCACTCCAATCCTCTCTCTCATCCCTTCTCTCTTCCTTTCTCCATTTCTCTTCTTTATCGTCCAATCCTCTCTGCATTTAAGTTCGTTCTTTACCATCCTCTCTCTCTCTCTCTCTCTCCTCTTCCTCCTCTTCCTCCATTCCTACACTTTATCATCCACTCATTTCAGCATTAACTTACCGATTTTCATTTCCCCATTCACATTTTGCTCTCTCTCTCTCACGTGTTATTTTCATTTTCTTCTTCGTTCTCTCCTATTCCTCTCATTCATCGGTCTTCTCTCCATTTTTTTATTTCTCTTCTGTTCGTCATTCTTTAATTTTCTCTTTCTTTATCTTTTGCGTTTTGCTTCTGTTTAGCATTGTTGTCTCCCATCTCCCCTTTCGTCTCTCGTTCATTTTCTATCTCCTTCCTTTAATTACCTCACCTTCTCTTCCTCCTCCTCCTCTCTTCCTCTCATTTATCCCCTCGATCGAATATTACTGACATCGTCACAATTTAATGGTCAATTAAACCTATTAGCGGTCCAGTGTCCCTATTAGTGGTCCAGTGTCCCTATTAGCGGTTCAGTGTCCCTATTAGCGATTCAGTGTCCCTATTAGTGGTCCAGTGTCCCTATTAGCGGTTCAGTGTCCCTATTAGCGGTTCAGTGTCCCTATTAGTGGTCCAGTGTCCCTATTAGCGGTTCAGTGTCCCTATTAGCGGTTCAGTGTCCCTATTAGTGGTCCATTATAATTGTACTGGTACCTGTAATTAGAAGCATACCTGTACTTTTACCTGTACTAGTAATTGGTGTTTGTGATTATGGTCAGGTGCGTCATGAAGCTCTACGGATGTTAGACCTGCCTGATGTACCACCACCATCACCACCATCCATCACCATCAGCACTACTCACCCTTACCCCACCATCACCACCACTAACACCACTATCGCTCTCAGCACCACTACCACCATCAGGCACTAGTAACACACCTTGAAATAGAACAGGTAAAAAAAAAAAACACCTTTGGAACACTCACTCACTCACTCACTCACTCACTCACTCACTCACTCACTCACTTACTCACTCACTCACTTACTCACACAAGTCAGTAATTGAAACACTGGTCTTTCGCTAACAACAAAAAAGAAAACACTACACACATATATGGTAAAAACAGTATCTAGGAACCTTTCAATGGAGCTAACAGACCCCCACCCCCACCCCCCCACCCCCACACCCCCCTGAAAACTGTCGAATCAAACTCTAGATACTTTTTTCCATTTCCCATTTTCCACTTTTTTCCTTATTTTTCCCCAGTAACGTTGTGTATATAGTTTCGGTTCACTATTTACATTGTAGAGTTCTTAGGGCGACAATTTCCCTTATCCTACCCCATCCCTTACCCTACATTATCCTACCCTAACCCTTACCCAACCCTTACCCAACCCCACCCCTCCCCACCCCACCCTACCCACCCCTACACCCATACCCACCCCACCCACCAGATGCGGTTATTCGGGTTTTTTCCTCCTCTGTTTCTCTCTCCCTTCAGCTCAAAACTTGCCTCAGTGACCGCTTGTTACTGCTGTATTGTGTGTGGTTAGTCAGCCTTGCGCGTGGTGGTGGTGTTCAGCAGAGAACAGTGAGAACATGTTATAACACTCGTCGCCACTAGTACCACCAGTATTAGTAGCCTTCGTATAGCGGCTATGAGGCTCCCGACAGGTACTA